TATGATGTAATTAACATAAATCAAATGAAATCTAATTAACAATATTTGATATCAATTTTGTCACATGTATAGTCATGTCAATTGTTGATATTTGTAAACTACATAAAAAACACAATTATAACTCACTATCGAGAACAATATTTACACATAGTAGACGATTCGTACATTTTTAACTTCCCACTATGAAAATCAATGATTTTCAAAAAATCGAGAAGTTATTGGTTTCACCCTAGTTTTCGAAAATCAAATTTTCACAAGATTTCCACGTTTGAGGCCCTAAGAAGCTATTCTGACTATTTTTATGGGAATGTCCGATCCATCTATGCTTAAAAAAATTGCTGCAATATGTATTTATAACTACCAGAATATGTCGTGCGGTAGTTTCTGAACGATTTTTTGAAATGGGGATACTGATTAGAAATTGGATAATAATATTGTAAATAGTCATGAGAAAGATTATAATAATCTGAAATTTTCATCTTTTAAACTTGAGTAGACTTATATGTTTTTAACTTCCCGCTCAGAAAATCAAAGATTTTCAAAAATCGGGAAGTTATTGTTTCTACCCCGTTTTGCAAAAATTGAGTTTTCATCAGATTTCGATGTTTTAAGGTCACAGGAATTGTCGTTTGAATATAGATCTTGGTTTGGGGAGCATTTTGCAGCTCTCGTTGCTCGGCGACGTAACTTGTGGCATATTTTTCGAAGTTCTGCTACGTCTGACGACCACCCGTATGCCGGCCTATGAAAACCATGTTTTTTAAGCCGCGGCATAGAAGCATCATACGAAGCAACAATCACTTTCATCGCTTTTGACACCGCTTTTTCCTTCTCGCTGCGGGTATTTGGAGTTGGGTTACTCTGGAAAGTAGACGAGCTTCGAGTAAGGGACGATCGCAATGCTTCTAAATCAAGTTTCCTGGCGTTCTACTTCCACTGTTGAAGGACGCGTTGTAGAGCCGGAACAGGTGCCAATCCAACACTGAATGTTACATACTGGTGATCACTGCCACTGTATTCTTCGGATACAGTCTAGTTTTTAAATATGTTGGCAATTCTAGGAGTCACCAGCGAAATGTCGAGGATGGACTTCTAGATCTAGTTCCCTGGTCTTCTAAAGGTTGTGGTACTTCCAGTGTTCAACACTATGAGATCAAGTCATGCTGCGAAGTCTGCTACTTTGTTTCCTCTGGTGTCAAAGAAGTCAGCACCTCATTCGGCCAATTTGGCGTTGAAATCATCAGCTACAATGACTTCGCCGTTGAACTTAGTAATGGCATCTTCTGTATTTGCCAGTTTCTGACGGAACACACTAATCCCTTCATTAGGTGCGAGATAGACGCTCATGAAATAGGTTGTGAGCTGTGCCAGTTTCGTCTGTGAACCATGTTCTATCTTGGAGGTTTAGATGTTGCTCGCAGATAAAGCAAACGTCGATCTTTTCTTCAAAGACTGGCTGGCGCAGTAAATTTTGCGCCAACGTGCATCTATTCAGGTTTCCTTGTAGTATGCACGTCATTTTCATTCTATCGTAGCTTCGGCAGGTGCGATGCGGAATACCTTATAAGCCCCAGAGCCAGAACTATGACATAAGCCATCCTGGGCATCTTTGTCTAGTGTACAAAAAAAACATTTGAAGCAGCACTTGCTTCTATCTGGTCCCGCACAGTGATGTGTTTGGTGCCAAAAACTAAGGCATCTAAAGCAGCGGGATACTTTTGCAACTGGGCGTATGCGGGAGTTTACCTATCCGATCTTTATACGGGCCTTGTCAAGGACCTTGATCGCGCTGGCTTCGTCTATCTCGCAGAAGGCTGCCCGATTGCCTCGGGGTGTAAGTTTTGTTGAATTTACACGTTTGATCTCCAGGCTGTTGGTGACGTCACGTTTAAGTGCTTCACGGACGTCGCCTTCGGTAGAGACTCCATCCAAGTCGAGGATCTCGATCGTTGTTATTGATGTAAGTGTCTTGACCGTACGAATATCAACAGTAGCTAACTTTACCGCGTCGGTAAAAGTACTGCTGTCTTCGGTTGTCCGAGCCACTTCAAGGAGAACGTCTCCGTGTTTTATCTGTTTAATAGACTTAATGTCTACGCCAGTCTCGACAGGATTTACCTTGGCCTTGATTTTCTTCAGGGTATCTGAATATGTTTGGCCTTCTACTGGTTGGACAAGGACAGCCTTAGTTCTTGCAGTCTTCTTTCTCAGTTTCTTAGAGCCACCCTTATTTTGCAGGTTTTGAGCCTTAGTAGGTGGAGCCGCTAGTTCGTGTTCTCTTTCCTTCTGCTTCCTATTGCGATCCACTATGGTCCAGGTGTCTTCCTGGTCGTCTTTTTCTTGCAGTGGTGGTTTAGTTGGAGTGACCAGAAGTGGCTTAGGATTCGTGGTCATCCACGGAGATGTTTGGGTGGTTGATGTCGACATCGTTGGTGCTTTGTTGGCCAACCTATATGCCGTAGCAATAGACTCAACCAACTTTCTGATCTCATGATGGAAATTCTTTTTGTTTTTAATGGTCGGCTAAGTCTTTGATTTGTTACCGAGCCGCTCCATTGGCGATTGTTGGCCGGTGACGGTCAGTAGAGAGCTAATCCTTCCTCGATAAGCATGGGTAATGTCGGGAATAATAGGTTCTCCATTCTTTGGAGGAACGTGGCTTGACAGTCCGTCTACTTCCATCGAGGCTGTTTTCTTACTCCCTGTAGCATTACTAGACAACAGAGCCATGGGCTCCACCCCGCTGTACAAACGGTCGCTTGATGACGACGGATTCGGGCCCATTTGCACGCCCTCCGTCGCCGATACAGAGGTATCCCTCCCCTGTGCGGTAAACGATGTTTGAAAGTATTGCAACATTTCCATTTCGTTGTTTGTGTAGCTAGGTTTTGGTCTACCCCAAGTATTTTATTTCCTCGGTACCTCACATATCTGCCGGGCATTCCCCTATACAGCACCTGGGGAGGCACCCGATGCGGGACCCAGCAAACCTGGCTCGACCGATTTCATCGTAGTTGGCGCCATTAGAAAGGGCTTGACCAAACTTAGATTTTGAATATAATTTGGACCATTTCGGACCCGTAAATTTTGAGAAATCTTAAAAAAAACTACGAAAAAATTTTTTATCAAATTTGGTTTTTTTGGAATTACTTTTAAACGGTTTAACCGATCGATTCCCAAAACTAATCAGCTCTTAACACCAAAAAACCACGTCGATCGCTGCTAAGCCAGTCAAAATTTTAAGCGCTTAGACATGGAATTAGCGGGAAGTTGCAGGGATGGCCGTTAGGGTCAACCGTTTTCCTAAGATTCTTACTTCTGTTCATTACATATACACATAAATATATTCATATAGGTTATGTGTGACAATGTAGAGGACGCGTATACGCTAATGAATGGGTATGATCAAAAGTATGATGTGCGGCCACTATTATCTAGTTATGAGACGTGTAGCATGATTATTGTAAATATGTTTGTTATAGTTATAAAATATATTGTTGTTGTTTAATCCCTACAATAAAAGTACATGAAAGTGTGAAGTTAGTCAATAGTCGAAACTCGCAAAAAAATTGGACCTGATTCATTATTGGTCGAAATTAAGGCACGCACGCAGCGCGCTATTCAAATTTCTAATAGAAAAAAAAAATAAATACATTTTAGAAATACGTGATGTTATTAATATATTACGATAAGGTTATTGGTGTCAAAAGTTGATGCGCAGAATTATGAGAAATAATATAAAAAAAAATTTAGACAATAATAATCTATAATTAAAGTATTTGTGCGTCGAAAAAAAAAACAATTATAAAGCTGTCGACGTAGTTCAGTAATTGGATGTATCTTTAAAGGTCGAAGCTATTAATTTAATAGAAATACTGTTAAAAATCTAATTAAAACTTATCGAAAAAAAAAGTGTGTGTACTTATGTACACGCGTTAGAAGTTATACTTCTTTGGTGTAACAAGATAAAAATCTTTTTAAAAATTTTATCTTTCTAAAAATTTATTTTATATTGTTTTTTTTTAATTATTTCTCGCTGTGATTAATTTGATTATTCGTTTAAGTTTTAAGACAATCTGACGATAAATTTTACTATTAAAAATTTTAAGATTACTTTAAGAAAGAAACATTTAATTAAATTTAATATATTATTTAGAATAATTTAATTTTTTCGGAATGAAATATTATTATTATTTGTATCTATTATTAATTTATTAATTTATTCATAAACTTATCAGACATTAAATAAGAATGTCAAAATTTGTTTTAGTTTATGATGTAAATAAATAGTATATACCGTCAACTAACCCCAAATTCTATAAACGTATTCAAAGGAATATGTAAAAACTATTTTTATCGCTTAAAATAATTACTCAAAGTAATATATAAAAACAATTATTATAACTTATAATCACAGTAAATTATTGTAATATTATTTTATAATATATTATAATATTATTTGAGAAAATATATATTTATGTATATTTGTATATATTTTATTCGGACTGATACAAAACACGTGTTATAGGTTCAGAAACACTTAAATAAATAAATATTGTGAATACAGTTTTCAGTTCTCACGCAAACATACGTAGATGTCCTTACTTTTACTTTGTTGGTACCTTTTTTTGAAAAACTAAAATGTTGACTATAGCTAACTTCATCATGTCGATTTTTCGTGACGGTGTGCGCGCGCATCGTAAAAATTTACCCTCATCATTTTTGCCTCACGCGCCAAAAGAAGTATAACTTCAAAAAATATCTACTCAACATTTCTAATATATAGTAAATATCATCTATCAATAATACTAGAACATTGAGATTTAACAAAAATGATATTTCTCAATTCTGTCATCAATAATTTTATCTAAGACATTCTCGGGTAATTAAAAATATAATTACAAATCCAAGTTTTTATAGCCTTCATTACTAACTTTGTTTTTGGAGTTTAAACTTATATCAGTAATTTTGGCATATTCAATTTGTATTAATCAATTGCAATGAAATTAAAATTAGTACTTTTTATTCAAATAGTGTCATTAATGACGCAAATGATAAGTTCCAACCTATTATTACATGAGGTTTCCCTTAATCAAAATGCTAGTGAAGTAACAAGACAAGAAAATTTTCCACTTAAAGTCAAAAAGTCGGTAACCTTGAAGGAAAAAATGGATCTTTGGGACGAAGCGATTGTTTATTACCAAATAGATGACATTTTTAATGGAACACAACGTAGATTAATAAAACAAGGTTTGCGCATGTGGGAAGAGTCAAGTTGCATTCAATTTGTCCAAAGAAATTCAAATATCCATCGAGATTATGTCGCCATCACTATATTGGAATGCGGGTAATTATTTTATTTATATCACTTAATATTTCTATCATTTATCACATTGAAAAAAAGTGCAATCAATAAAATTGTACAATTTGATTTCAAAATAGGTGTTGTTACCAGGAGAATTACCAAGGTCGCAGAAATAAAGGTCGCAGTAAATTGAGCTTAGCTAAAGGATGTGAAGACATAGAGATTATTCTTCATGAATTGGGGCACGTTTTGGGCTTCTACCACGAGCACCAACATCCAGACCGTGACCAGTGGGTTCAAATCAACAAAAGGAATATTGATCAAGGTAAATTTTTTATGGTGAAGATTGTAATATTATTATACTCTCGCGGTTTTTGAAACACCATAAATTTTTGGTATTAATGCACTTACCATAAATTTACCGTAATAATTCTGAAATAATACGGTATTGCTGTGGTCAGTTTTTTGACTATAGTTATGCAGCATTTCTACCGTACTTTTGCTGCAAAGTTACTAGAACAATACGATTAAACTACCGTATAACTCCAGAACTTTCACCGTAAAAAATCTATGAATTAACTATAATATTATTATAATTTTACAATAATAAAATCGTATTTCTCTCGTAATAGTACCGAAGTTATACTGTAATTTTACCGTGTTTATACTGATATAATTAACAAATTCCGAAATTTAGTATTTTTTTTTTCATTGCTGCATTCAAAGTCATATCATAAAAAATGTGCAGATTATAAAATTTTTATTTTTATTCCATTAATTCTTACGATTTTATTCTAATCAAAGAATCATTTGAAGTAGAGCGTAGGGATTGTAGGATTTTTTAAGTTCGGCGGCGGTGAGTAAATAAGTATACAGTAAATATGCGGTACATTTACGGTTTTAATGTTATTAATATATTTCGCAATTTTTTTGTAATAATTCGGCAAAAATACTGGCTAAAATAACTGAAGTATTACGGTAAATATACAGCATTTATATTGTATTAAAACAGAATCATTGCGGGATTTCCAAAACCGCGAGGGTAAAAATAAAAAATCTAATTTATTTGTTTTCCAGGTTATGAACCAGAATTTCAGCAGCTCTCACGAGCGCATGTCGATACTTTAGGACTGCCTTACGATTACCAATCTGTGATGCATTATCCAAGCGATGCTTATGCATATTACAATTTTTGGACTACAATAGTCCCGAAGCAAGCTATTAATGGAACAGTACCAAACATTGGTAATCAAAAAAATCTAAGCCAGGGTGACGTTAAGGCTATTAATCTTCTATATCAATGTCCAACTTGCGGAGGTGTTTTTTATGGCGTATATAGCGGGATTCATAGAACCTCCTGTCAGCACCAATGATTCTGACTCAGATCTAGCATATTGTCAGTGGCGAATTGTTGCTTCTAAAGGGGAACGAATAATACTCGACGTTTCGACATTGAATATTTCCATGAATCATAATTGTGCGAGCGATTTTTTAGAAATACGAAATGGTCATTCAGATAAAAGTCTACTGTTAGGTAAATATTTATCATTAAAAGTCCTCATACATTAATTATTATTTTTATCATACATCTAAACTTTTTTTCAGGTCGATACTGTGGAACAAATAAGGGGACATCCATTAACTACTTGAGCTATTTTTCGATCAGTTTAGACTCCTCCCCCCCTTAGGTGAGATTTGTCTGGACCCCCCCCCTCCCCTTACGTGAGATTGACGCTAGAAATATTTTAAATTAAAATTATTTTTATTATTCGGGAGAATAATAAACCATTCAAGTATACTATAGTTAATTTATTTTAATTAAATGTAATTCAAAGCAAAAAAAACATAAAAACAACACTTTTTTTAAATTTTTACTCAATCCATGGAGACTCATGTCCTTTTTTTATACATACATATTATAATTTATATTATAATTATAATGTTAAAGAAATCCACCATTAGCTCTGAGAAGAGCTTGTTTAACTCATCAGCGTAAATGATTTTAATAGACATAAAATTTATTTTAGCGGGCAAAATAAACACTCAAAATAATTTTTTTTTTAATGTCTGTAATATTTTATATTTTTTGAAGTTGAGGTGAGATTTTTGATTATCCCCCCCTCGGCTTAGATGAGATTTGGTGAGATTTCATTGGACCCCTCCCCCCTCGTTCTGAGCTCACGTAATTAATGGATGTCCCCTAAAGAAGAAACACTCACTGGTGGTGATAACATACTAGTAACTTATATGAAAACGACAAAAACTATCGGGAACAGTGGATTTAGTGTGTTTTTTGGAAAAAAATGTGGAAGTACAAGTTCAACATTGGTGAATGTCAACAATCCCTTCACTTTGGAGTCACCAAATTATCCATTTAATTACAGGGCTTACGATAATTGCAAGTGGGCATTCGAAACGCCTGAAAATCATACGATTAAGGTTAAATTTGAGTTTTTTCGATTAGAAGATAGCAGTAACTGTGGAAATGACTTCGTTGAGGTGGAAGAAATAGATATTGATGGAAGTTCAAAGGTTATTGGTCGATTTTGTGGAAATAGAAGTCCGTGGGAGTTGAACCTACAGGTTAATAAAGTTTCAATACAGTTTGTAAGCGATGTCGTCAATGACGAGGCTGGTTTTTCTGCTATGATTACAGCGGAACCAATAGTATAATTTCGTGGGTAATTTATGAAGAAACTTTAAGTTAATAATTAAACGATACTATTGCAGAATGGGTTCAGTTTAAGATATTAAATCAAGGGATGTCAATTCAATATGAATTGTCAGTGTCAATAAATTCAATTGTGTTGCCTGAACAGTTGCTTTTTTTTTTTTTTT